AGAGAGAGAGAGAGAGAGAGAGAGAGAGAGAGAGAGAGAGAGAGAGAGAGAGAGAGAGAGCAGTCTGCTCAGACTGACACACTCTTCTCACCATTTCTAAAAAATCCTGGCCCTTACCAATTTCCTAACTGGTTTTCATTCCTGACCCATCAAAACACCGGCAAGGAATGAAAAACCCTCCAAGGATGAGAAAAAATGCGTAGCACAGTTGATGGCCAACGAGAGGGTGAGAAAGATCGACCGTCCTACTATTTGCACGGCAACAAAATTAGGACCATCCGATCCCTTTGCTATATGTGGCTGAGACGAGTGTCACACACACGAACGGTCCTCGTTCCAATACTTCTCTGACCGCCACTGGGAGGTGACCCCCGAATTCCATTGCAATGGCAGCAGCGTCGCTACAAGTAGGCCCGTGGTGGACTGTCTTTTTTCTTTTTTGCCCTGGGGCACTAGTCCCACCAGTTGTGGGATGGGACTCCATTCTAGACGTGCGACAGGGGAAGGGAAAAAAAAAAAAAAAAAAAAAAAAAAAAGAACACCACAAAACAGGAAAAGAAGAAGTGGAGGGCCGTGCAATGACGCGGCGATAGCGGCGCCCGGTCATGGGCTGCGGCTGAGTAGGACGCAACATCTGAGCATGTGGACCCTGATCCTCCCCACAAGGCGCCTACCCTGCCAGGCACCATAGTTGTGTGAGAGCTATGGCGATAGTGCCCTGGCGTAGCCTAGCCCTTGAGTGGGTTAGGGAGTGCCTTTGCTCTCTTATGCCAAGGCATCCTGGCAGCTCTGCATCTGACCTCCATACCAACCTTCATACCTAACAGGATCTCAACACAAGAGGAGCCGTCCTCCCCTCAAGCCTTTAGCTGGAAAGGGGAGGCTTCTTTCTCACCATCCAAAGGCGGTGTGGTTTACTTTCAAGACACGCCATCTGGACTGCCTCGACAGTATTGAGGTTGCCTTATCTTGGACATTCCAGATGTACTCGCCCCAGAATGCTGGCTGGATACATTGAGGGCGGGTACAAATTTATTAGGAAAAGCATGGAAGGTGGAGCGGCGCAATTCGGCATGTCCAAGAGCTTCAGCAGGTTTCGTTTGACCCATCTACGACACAAGCCAGTTTGAAAGGAGGGAACAGAGCGCCCTGCTCCCTGGCGCTATCAGGAGCGGCGCTGTGAGTAGGAGTGGGAGTGCCACTAACAGCGGTGGGAACGCCACCGACAGAACCGAGGATGCATGGCACCATGTCTGCATGGCTTGCGAACGGAGAAGGGAGAGACTCTACAGGCGTGCAAGCGTGCAACTGCGTGGCCCACCATAGCCTTTGCTATGGTGTTGGTCTATCCAGCTGCTTGAATGGGCGGATGGCCAACCCAGCAGTCCTTCCTTCCATGTCCAGTGGAAATTCAATTCAATTGCACTGGTGTTTGAGATGGGATGGCGGGTTTCCAGAGTAAACAGCGGCCAAGCTACCTCAGCAGACATACTAGTAGTTAAACCACCAGTACCTCGCTCAGGTATCGGCCGCGGGCACTCCCGTATACGCGCCACAGCCCTAGGGGGGTCGGCCAAGGGAACGCCCGGTCACTGCGCGAAGGCCGGGCTCCACTTCCCTAGGAACGACACACTTAGAGAAAACAAAAAAAAAGAAAGAAGGGGAAAAAAAAACAAATACACAAACGGAAAAAAACGAACGGACAAAAAGTTGAAGTCGCGCGCGCGCGCGCGCGCGCGAGAGAGAGAGAGAGAGAGAGAGAGAGAGAGAGAGGGGCGGTGGGTTCGCCGCGACCCTCTGTGCAGGTTGCCGCCCCTCTCTCTCTCTCTCTCACACACACACACACTCACACAAAAACAAGTATGGCAGTGTATATTCACACGCTATAGCGCCAGAAAAAAACAAAACGAATGGGTTCACACA